AGTGGTGAAGAAAACTTTTAAAGATATGCTTTGTAACTGAAATCTACAGCCGCAAATAGATTAAGTGCAATAAAATAAACACTTCAATGTGTATTTTGGATGTTTTCTTTCCACTGGTCTGAAATAACACTTTCTGAGCCCAAATAGCGCAAAATCTTAAAAGTAACCAATGCATGTTTTTGCCTATTTTATGATGACTGATTTTTGGCAATGTGACATTATTTTTATACCCCAAAATTGCATTACTGCAATGCAACAAATATCTGTAAGATAAGATACATTTGTACAAATACTCCCACTAGGGCTGTCCAAAAAAAATTCGAATTTCGAATATTCGTCTAATTTAAAATAAAAATCCACATTCGAATGCAAAAAGGTGTGCGTCAGGCAGCCTTATCAGTGTCGTTGCATTATGTTTTTGCTAGCCTATCCAGTTGAACCCACTAGATGTGGTGCTGCTGCATTAAATTATTGCGGAAAAAGAGAACATCAATGCAGAGATGATCTTGTTTACGTTTTGATTTGATCAAAACTAAAACCAAGCCGTTGACACAGAACGCATATTTCGCGCATTTTCTAGAGGGAATGATCTATCACCATTGCACTTGCATCTTGCACAAAAGAGCTGCATGTTTAGAAAGTCATGTAAAATTAATGCAAGTTTAACTTTGAAAAAACATATCTCGAGACTTTATGGCGGGGGTTTTTTCCCCACCCCACTGGGAAATGTTTTTAAATGAAAAATGTACTCTGTGTGATTGGCTTTCGGTTCTTTGTATTAAACGATGCATACATGCATGATGTTGTTTTGTTTATAGTGGTTTAAGCAACTTAATTAATTATAATTGGTTTATAAACATTATTTTAAACATTATGCACTTTTTTCACAGATAGTCATGTTATATCATGCTTTGAATAAACGTGTTTTAGTAATATTTTGCTCGATGCGCCCTCTTGTGGCCTAAGGAGAGAAGCCAAAAGCTTTTCTTTACCCTAACTGAAATTATTCATTTTAAATTCGAATATAATTCGAATTTTAATAATATTTAAGTACAAAATTCAAATTTTGACAGCCCTAACTCCCACTAATATGAGCTAATAAAGCAGCATTATATAAAATAATTAGCAAAATGTTGTTTAAGGCGGAGTTCCAGAAAGCCAAATTTCAGGACAAATAACTACCCACTTACAATTTTACTTTACAGTTTATTTATTGAATCAATATATCAATAGTTTTGCATTTAAAATTGGTAGAGTTAGGGGTCGTTTTTGCATTCAACTGTACTGCATTTCCATTGTTTTTCTATGTAAATACACACTAGATGGATATCTTTGAATGCTGCACCCACATCTCGCATCTTTTGCAGCATCTTGCACATGACATGTTGTTTTAAAAAGGCATGTTAAAAGATGGTAAACTTTATAAAAACTTGTCTCTAGACCTTGCAGGCTTTTTTTTTTTTTATTATTAAACTGCCCTGCGCCCCATGTTTTCAATTTAAAATTCAAAAATAAAAATATTTTTCAAATTGCCCTGCTGCTCACATCTCTCAATATATTTATTGATGGCTTCGCAAAATGCAAATTACACATAAAAAAAAATAATAATAAATTTTCATATTGTTATTCCAAATAATGTATATGGTTTACAATATTTCAAAAAACTAAAATACAAATAAATAAAAAGAGATTAGAAGCTAACTAATTTTATAATACACCTCACATTACAGTGTAATATGAACAACATAGTTTTTGCAACCCCAGAGTCCAGATCATTTACAAATGTTCCCAAAAGTTAGGGTTAGGGCTACTAGATATAGCTCATCTTAGAGTGAATTATATTTTGAAGTTATTCCAGTGGCATTAACCCCATTAGCATCTTAATGTGCATCACTGTCATGAAAAACAATGTCACAGGGCAAGAAAATGTTGCAAATGGCTTTCATTTTCTTTAGGCAAAGTGTCATTTCAGATTGTGGGGTTCAATATGACCTCAACTTTACGGTTTTCATGATATTCACCCTTAAAGGTCCCATATTTTACACCTTTCTGGAGTTTTATTTTAGGTTTTGATGTCCTTAAGAATATATATTTGCGGTATAAGTACCAGGGGTGTGAAGTAACGAATTACAAATACTCACAGTATCAGTAATTGTACTTTTTTGAGTAGTTTAAAAATTGTGTACTTTTACTTTTACTTGAGTACATTTTAAGTGATGTATCGGTACTTTTACTCCGCTATTTTCCTCCGTTTGTGGTCGTTACATGCTTATTTTAATTTTATTTTTATCCATAAACGTGATTGGATAGATAGTAATAGGTCTCGTGACTTTCATCAAATCAAATTGTGCATAGAAAACTTTAACCGCCAACTGTTTATCACGGCTGCTGGAAGCGCATTCTTCAAGCATAAATTCAGTCGCAACTTCCTCTAACTTAATATGTTGAGGTAAATTTCGGATTTCTGCTTACTAAATGATTTGTATATACAAATATGCTTGCCTATCTACACGGCCTGAAATCTGGTGTGAGGTTGCGGGTATTGCATACAGTGTTAACTCCCGCAAGTGCCACGTTCGATAAATTCCCACTCACTTATGAGACGCGCGATCTGCGCTGCCTCGTCTCTCTCTCGCGTGCGTTCTGCAGCGGTCACTTGGATAAGTCGTTGTTGCTTGTGGAACTTGTTGACTTTTGATGAGTTTGAGCGCGTGATGCGCGCTGTGAAAAAGTGTGTTGGAAACACAAATTGAGGACCAAATCTGCACCTTATTGATGACCCGTGGCATTAATATACTGCATCTGTGCCAGCGCGTGATGTAATAAAACTGCAGCTTGTTAATAAACTTTTTTTTTTATTTTATATTTTTAATCCATTTTATACAATCCGCCTTCATTTAGCAAGTGCACTCATGCATAAACACTTTTCCTGGGGGTTTGGCAAAAGGAGAGTGGGACGGTGGGCGGTGCTCGGGGTGGTGACTGAAGGCGGTGACTGTGTCGTTCTGACGTCAACTTTTTACGGAAGTCACAACGGTTCGTGAAAAATCACAGCTACTTTAAGCAGGCTGTGTGAATTTTACTGTGTGGAAACTTATATTTTACTGTTTTGAAACTTATATGGTAGTTACATAGCACCTAGACCTCAGTTATCATGAAAAAAGCCAGGAAATTTCAGTTTTGACAATATGGGACCTTTAAGACTCATTGTGAGAAAGCACACATCTTACCCAACGATCACACCACCAGCCCTCCTTAACACACACACACACACACTCGCCGCGGTGTTAGTGGGGCATCAGAGTGTGAGAGATAGATGAAAGAGTAAAAATAACCTGATCCCCCGAGACTTTTACCACACCCTCATACAAAATGTACAGAGAGAGAGAGAGGAGCTGCAGGTCGACTTCATACACCTCAACACACACGTCCCTACAATACAGCACATTCATAAGTCATGCACAAGATCTTTAAAAATGCAACGTTCATGTTAAATATAAAGACCTTGACTGAATATTGTAGAATAGAGACGAAGAAATACACTACCGTATAAAAGTTTGGGGTCAGTAAGTTTTTGTTGGTGTTTTTGGATTCTTCTGCTCACCAAAGCTGCATTTATTTGATTAAAAATACAGAAAAAAACAGTAATATTGTGAAATATTATTACAATTTTAAATAGCTGATTTATATGTGAATATCTGTTAGAATAAAATTTATTCCTGTGATCAAAGTTGAATTTTCAGCATCATTTCTCCAGTCTTCAGTGTTACTAACATGCTGATTTTCTGCTCAAGAAATGATCACCAATGTTGAAAACAGTTGTGATGCTGAATATTTTTGTGGAAACTGATGCATTTTGTTTTTCAGGATTCACAGATGAACAGGAAGTTCAAAAGAACAGCATTTATTTGAATCAGAAATCTTTTGTAACATAATAAATGTCACTTTTGATCAATTTAATCTATCCTTGCTGAAAAAAGAAATTAAAGGGGTCATATGATGCGATTTCATTTTTTCCTTTCTCTTTGGAGTGTTACAAGCTCTTGGTGCATAAAGAAGATCTGTAAAGTTGCAAAGACTAAAGTCTCAAAACCAAAGAGATATTCTTTATAAAAGTTAAGAGTTAGCCACACCTACCTAAAACGGCTCGTTCGAACACGCCCCCACATATCCAAAATAATGTTCTTTTTAGCAGCATCATATGGCCCCTTTAAACAAATAATAAACTTACTGACCCCAAACTTCTGAACAGTACAATATATGAGTACAATTTTAAAAAATGCCTTGTTAAATGTATGAAAGGAGTCATTCAAGTGCTTTTCAGTAAGAACTACTCACTGAGGTACGTAATGTAAAATAAATATCGACAAGCAGAACTGTATATTCCTCTCTGTACACAAATTTCCACTTAAAAGCACACTGACACCGCTGCGCAATTTTGCGTTTTCTTCCATGCCAGGATATTAAGTGAAATATAGTAACTGCACACTTTGTCAGAATAAAATTATGACCCAAATCAGGCTCCTGAGACTGCGATCTGACGACACTGACGCACAGATTCAGAGAAAATATGTGTGAATTCATTTCAAAATTCAATCTTCAGTGCTCTATTTCAGATAAACCTCTCATAAAGACGGCATTAAAAACAAAACAGTCATGTCATCTGACAACAAAAACGAGGCAAAAAATGAATAGTTTTTGCAGCTTAGTCTCAATGATAGTGCTTTTTGCCCTGAGTTCTGAAGGTTACAGCAAGTTCTCATGATACATCAAACGTTTATTTCCAAAGATCAAGGAAAATTAAATTTTTCATTATGTGACCCCATCAAGTGCTTCAAAAAACAAGGCCATAAAAAGCATTTGTGATGAAACAAATGATGGAAAAACACAGGACAAAACAGGGCATTTAGTGCATGAAGTGTTCCTTTATCCTGTATTTTCCACTTCATTTCTTTATTTTAGCCTAGTTTTTCAGTCTGGTATGGTGTGCCGGTACTCAC